AAAGATAATCGTTCATAAGGATGCACGATGATTTCTCCATTACCGTTTACTCGTCGATCAACCCTTGTCTAACAAAGACTGGATCATCGTTGCTATTAGCATATTTTAATTTATACCGTTGAAACAAAAATCGATCAAAGAGAAACAGAGATTGAATAGATGTTCTTCTCGCCTACGTACTAAGAATTGCGTTACTTTCAACCTTTTATATATATATATTTACAACTTTACGTTTCACGTAAGTTCGTAAAAGTCCATAGCACAGTAATAACGAAATTTGCTTGGAAAATAAAATCGTTCGTATCGGTGATCGCTAGAACTTCGTTTATCCGAGCAGGTTGGGAACCCAAGATAGTTTAGAGGACTGACAACGAATTCTCTAGCTATCGTCTTCGGTCTTTCTTATCAGTTTAGATAACGAAGAGAAAAAAGGCTTTCGTGCACGATAATTTGCTAACAAATGATATTAACCAGCTGACAACCTATTAATCCTAGGTTTATAAACTTCTTTCTTATCGCGATGTTACGTCGAACGGAACGTTCTGCCGGTTTGCGATTCCTAACATTTACACGTACAATTTCATTTATCATCAAACCCGTTGCCGTTAATCGAGAAAAATCTGTAACTCGTGGCTTGTAGAATTTCACCTGTAACGTTACCTGGCTGAACTGCACGGAAGGATCCTGATACGTAGAAACAGGCAGCTGACCAGTCGTTTCTGTATCGCGTCCCACTGTCCCACGTTTCCAGCGTACAATTTATTCTCCGTATAAACTCCGTTACAAGAATACACGTTTGAACGTAATGGAAGACTGTGGCTGGACCACAGTTCGCATAATAGCTAAGCTTTCAAGTTCGGATATCGGAAGTTGAAGGTTACTTGTATAAACGAAGTTCTATCGCAATTCGGTAGAACTATAATTTCTAAATGTATCGTACGATTAGAAGGTAACGAACGTGAAATATCTACACGAGACAAGATTGACCCAGTCTTCGATTGTCAGAGGGTTAAGCAATCTCGGCCAAAGATCGGCCAAAAGAATTTGCCCATTTTCTAAATAGGTTCGTGGATATTGGCACGAAAGTATCCGGTACAAATTTCCAGGACCGTGATCCTGCTGATAAATTCCACGATCCTGGGTATCGTGGCAACGCACAACTCGATCTCGAAAATTCGATTACGCTATTATACTCCACGCAAGTAACTATTTAAATATAAAAATTATTATAAACGAAGAGAGCGACGAGGAACGATGGAAACGGATAGCGATTCGTCAACACCAAACTGTAAAAGCTGGTGCTGGTCGAGCCTTCTCGCATCTCGTATAAAACGGATTCCCATCGCTGTGGCGTGTCGCCTTCTGTTTAAAACCGAGGTAGAAAAACAGGGAGGTCGTGTTAAAAATGTCAACTGCCTTTTTCTTATAAGGACGTACGAAGAGGATCGGAGCTTGCAAGGGGCTCCACTCGTAAACAACGTTGCTCTATGCTTCTTTCTATGATATTCGTAAGAAACTATGCGACGTCTAAAAATCGAGTTATCTCGGAGCTTGAACGGTTAACGCAACGAATGATGTTGAATGTATCACGCTCTATATGATGTATCAATTCTTAAATGATACCGTTGAACCATAGATAACCGGAACGCTTTTAGTCAGGTTACTTAATTTCCCGATCTTTAATCTTATTCTGTATTCTCTGTTTCACAGGTTGATGGACGAACGTTAATAGCTTCCCGGACGTTTAATTTTATTTCGTAAGAGAAACTATGCCTGAAAATCTGTAAAATGAAATAAATTGAGACTAGAAATCGGCAACGATTCTGTCATGCTCTCCTCCAACGTAACAAATTCCTTTACGATAGGGCGATTGAATTTGTAAAATAAAACATATTCACTTCGTGGAGCTAAGCAACTTAAAATTAAGTAACCCAATGCGAACAACGATAACAAAATATGAAAAATGCGAAAAACTATGATCCAAAGATACCAATGGAGAATTAATATTACAAACACGAAATACGTATAATAGATGATAATAAGCGGTAACGAAGGTTATCCAAACCGATCATTCGTGACAAACGTGTCAATGGTATTATGGTTTGGCTAAAAGTTAAATAACAAAGAAAAGGATGAACCTCGTGAACGCTAGACCTCTGACTTTAAGCTTCATCCTTGCCTCTCTCCTTTTTCGCGCTTCCACGAAGTTCGCTTATATTTCCTTCTCTTTTCTTTATCCTGTTTCTTTCTTTTCTCCTTCTTCTTCTTCTTTTCGGTAGAATATTTGGCAAAGACGTCCAGCCTACCGCGAGCGATATATTTCTATACCTATGAGAATAGATCTAATTACCTTTAGTCTAACGACAGCTTAGCTGCGCTGCTAATTCCATACACGATTTACAAAGTTGGTTTTAACAGTCAAGGCTCTTCTTTTCTTTTTTTCACGTCGTTTAACAAAGCTATACATACAAAGAAAAGGAAGGAGAACTGAACGCTATATACACGTAGACGAGCTTAAAAACGTGCCTAAGACTTAAGACTCGATTGAAAAGAGGAAGGAAACAAACGTTGTTTCTCGAAGGATATACCCGGTTGTTCGTCTGGTTCTTTGTCTTTCAGTCCCACGCGCACAGGTATGTCACTGTGAACAAAGTTTTGGGAAAAGATCATCGTTATGATTTCGCTTCCCGAGCTAAAAACAATTATTTCGTTCTAAAGCAATCGTTTGGTCACGGAGCGGACCAACTCGCCGATTCCAATAATCTTGAAATATATTGTCAGGTTCGACATTCGCAACAACTTTTCCCTGTACGTGTTACCGTCGCTCGGCTTTACTCTCCGAGATATTCGCCAAAGTTTCTGTTTCCACGACGTACGATGATTTTAATCATCGAACAGTCCCGTTTTTCCAAATATAGTGTTGCCAGTTTTGAATAACAATAATATAATACGAGACTTACTATGACTTGTATCGCTCTTATTACTCAACATATGAATTTGTTATATCGTCGACACCGTCAAACGATAATCATCTAACCCAAATTCAATCCACTGAGTTTTCTTTCTTACGTGAGTCGAGAATAATCGTAGAAAATAAGTTAGCATGTCCTTCTATGCCAAATGGAAGCAAATTGATCAAAATAATCGCAAGGTATATTGAACTGGTTTTTCGCGGAAATTAAAATCGAGCAACGTTAACACGTGCGGGGAGAAGTTGTACGGGAAAAGGCGTCGATAGCGTATTTCAAGGTCATTGAAGATCGGTAAGATCGATCATTTTGCAAATAACTATCAACTATTCTTCGGTTGTCTTCGATATTCGATCGCCTTCTTTCAGGCAGAAATAATGTCACTTTTTGAAACGAATTGAACGAAAGATATTGGAAGTAGAAAAAAGAAAGAAACTCTTTGAAATCACGAATTCCATAAGACTTCTGGCTTTTAACTTACGTTCTTGGAAAATAGAATGTTTCTTCCGTGAATACTACGCGGCGGAAAATAATTGGAATAAAGAAAATAAATAAACATTGCAGAGTAGTTTACGAAGATCGAGATTCTGAATATATTTCTGGAGAGACGTAAAGCCGAAAGGATTTTCGTTATAATATGAGGATTTACGCAGGGATTACAAGTTGATCCGATGGAAAATCTAAAGGACAGCTTTAATCCTATTCGAACGATCGTTTTGCATTGTTCTTGACAAAAATACGAGAACCAATGTCTTCGTTTTGTTACGAAATATACAAATAGGTAGATGGAACGTCCAAGAATCTAAAGAAACAATATTACTGTTAAAAATGAAGAAGACGTCAAACCAACTGTAACGAGTAACAAATAGAAAACAAAGTATAAGATATCAAATTAGAAAGAACTCTGTATCTAATGCGTAAACTGTATACATGTGCGTATACCTAACATCATATAGAAAACTAGGAAAAGTTCATTCGATCGAGTAAACGCTATGGAATTACATTTACAATTCTCAATTAGTTATTCCGAAAACTTAAATAACAAAACTGAATTGAAATCTTGAAACATTCACGGTAATAATATAAATATCGTTATTATTAAAGTGACAAAAATATTATAGTCCAAGTATCCTTCAGGAACTCGAATAAAAAGACCTTGGAACACCATAATTCTAAGAAAACGATTGTTATCGGAACATCAACAATACTGAAAAGGGTTACTTTAAATACGTACGTTGTTCAAATGTACAAATAATAATAAACTAAATTGCGGATTTTTATGCAATTATTGGATATTTCATCGAAGGTATAAGACTAACCAGAATAAACACGATATTTATACAAAAATCTATGATATAACCAGAGTACAATAATCGCGATGATATTTATTACGTGAAACAAAAATCTGCCTACGTTTCGTTTTTTAAACCCTCTGAAATTTTGTTTTAATATCGGTTTCTTGTAAGATTATATTATCGTAACTATTGCAAACGATAATTTTTCTATTCTTTTCCCGACATTGGATCAGAGTAAAACGTTTGATCTGTTTGATTTCGTTGATCTTTAAACTAACGAAAAATGCGCACTACGACTGGAAGATAAAAAATCCGCGAGAGAATTAACGCGATTTCCTTCGACGATTGCCTTTAAGGATTAATCGTCTCTACAAAGATATAGATTTGCATAAATATCCGCAAGTAATATCCTAACATAATACGCTACGTTAAAACGAAAATCCCCTTTAGATGCGGCGCGAACGAGCGATTTTTTCACGCTGCGTCCTCGCTGCGTGTTTTCCTTCGTTTTCTCGGTTAAAAACAACGAAGATAGACACACGACGCAGAGCTGGCAGAGAAAAGGCAGCGTGAAAAAGTCGCTCGTCCTCGCAGAACCTTAAAAACGGAAGAGGCATTACGAAGAATTCGCTTCGTATCCTAATCCTTCGAATATCCGTCCCGCGAAAACTCAGACAAACTGCACAGCTCTCTTACTTTGCTCGAAGTAGAAAGAAAAATAATAGTCGCTACTCACCGATCGAGAATCTCGTACAACGAGCGCACGACGGATGTCTGTTCAGGTCCAGCAAGCGCCTCCTCGGCGCTGTCGATGTCACAGATAAACTTCTGGACTCGCAGGCGCTGGTTGATGTTGCTGTTGCGGAGGCGGTTGTTGTTGTTGCTGTTGTTGATTTTGGGATTGATGCTGCTGCGGCTGCGGCTGTTGCGATTGCGCTTGCTGTTGTTGTTGTTGTTGCTGCTGCTGCTGCTGCTGCTGCGACGCCTGTTGCTGATGATGATTGTGGCTGTGATTATGAGTATGGCTCTGTCGCGTTCTAAGGATATCCCATCTTTGTTTGAAAAGATCACGTTCTTGCTGGAGCCGAGCCATCTCGATCTTCATTCGCTGAAGTTCATTCTGCAGATTGCGATTTGTCGTCTCGAGGTCGTGTCGTTGTTGCAATCGTTTGCTACGGCAATTCTGAGCGTAACCACGATTCTTCAAGGTTCGCCGCTTTTGCTTCAGACGCACCACCTTTGCAGAACAGGGAGATCCGTTTTACCAACAAATTCGATGGAAAGTCGTGAGGATAAGAGTGTCGTAAGAGGTGAATTGGTATGGTTCTGTATTATTTCGTTTAGTTAACCCGTACGTGGGGGCAATTAATACGCTGGTCATGCAAACAGCGTAAAAAGAAGCTTGAAGCTTTACTTTTACGTATCTTGTTTACCGTCAACGTAAAAATATCCAAAGAACGGAGATCCACAGCGATTTCGTGATATTTTCGATAGAAGGTAACAAATTTTTGCAAGAAACATAGTTGTCCACGTTAGAGTTCGTCCGTAATCCGAGTGCGTAGTTTTCTTATTTGGAAATTTAAAATTAACCAAGCCGAATTACTTTGTTTCGTTCGTCGCGAAGGTAAACGTGACAATATGCTTTCGATAGAAATATAATTATTTAATGTTGCTTCGTCGTATAATTTACTATCCCTAAAATATACGAACGACGAGCTAGCTCGTCATTTCCTCGGACGACAGATTCGCGAAATACGTTAATTAAAATGATGTATCGTAGTTGCGTGTCAAGGTAGATTCTAATTAAAGCATCAATGTGTTACTTGCGTATAAATGTTAATTTTTTCAAACGAATCCTACGTTTCTATATCGAAGGGACGGAAAAAATTTTTCAATTCTTCGTATGCTACGTATAACTAAAAGAGAATATATTTAATGTATCGTATAACTACGCAAAAACTGTTTTAGAATTCAAATGTCGCTAATAATATGTAGATCATCTCGTACAAGGTGAATCGAAATTACCGTGGAAATGATTTGAGAAAACTTCTCTAGCTGAATACTAATTTTAAAAATCGTGTATAAAAAGAAGTTAAAAAACGAAAGGACACTAACATCGCGAACAACGACAACTCGCGCGTCTAACCAACAAACAGTTCGTTCTACTACAGTCATGGATAATACATAGATACCAATATACCAATTCACGCTTACTTCACACGTAGTTATCTAAGTAGGAAAATTCTATGTATTTCGCGATTTCGCCAAAAAATTCTCTTCGAATCCATTCATCTTAATCGCTATCGTTAAATAATCCATCATCGTTACGGCCAATAAGCGCAAACAGTTTGCAAGAAATCGTACCAACTCCGCGATAAAGAAATTTGTATACGGTAGAACCTGATTATTCGAATTGATCATTTCGCGTTCTCTTCGGATACTCGAATAACTTTGTCCTCGTACGAGAGAGAATCATTTATTTCGAACTGTCTTACAGATATTAATATCAATTTTGCCAGACAGTTTGACGCGCTTTTTCAAGACTAAACGATCTTTGGATAGCTGGAAAACGTTTTCTTGACGATTATCAATAGCAAATGTCGAGGGAAAGACAGTTAACGCGAAAAAAACGTGTTAAAGAATATCTTTGAATAAAAACACGACAATTTCTTTCGCTTCTTATTCTTATTTTCTGAATTGTCTGACGAAATAATCATGCTGAAGTTTCCCATTGATCGGTCGTTCCTTCGATTCGTATTGCCGTAATAATCAAAGTTCTACCATAGGAAAAAGAATCGCAAAAGGTAGAAACACGCGGAGCAAACGAGTGGCGAACTGAAAATTGTGAATGAAACGAAAGCGAGGCATTACCTATGCGAAAGTGTCGTTAAAAATGTAAGAGACCTGACTCACCTCTTCCCGCGGGCAACCATGAAGGCGTTTGTTCAATTCGCGTACGGAAAGCGACATGAGCAGCTCGTCGTTCATGAGTTCTTCCTGGGGATTGTTACTCCCGCAATTCTGGTAAAGGACATTGCCTCTGTGCGGTGGAGTCGAGCCACCAGCGGCGCAAGAACTCACTGAACAAACGCTCATCGGTCTTCCCGGTTGCATCTGTATGCCCTGCATGCTGTCTTCCATTCCCGACATTCCACTTCCGCCCGCGGGAAGCATCCCGCCGCCTGTTCCCGTACTCCCATAGTATTCTATGTGGCCTGACATCGTGATGTATCCACCTGCGACAACAATATTTGCCGACTTCCAGTCTTCTTCTTTCTAAAGGATAAACCATTTTGTGCCTCCTTATTAACCCCTTCTCATCGCGAGACGTTTGGCACGCCGATTTTCCAGTATTCGAAAGCGAATGTCGTCTCGCGTGCGGAAAATTTGCCTTTAAACGTGTAACATACTTTGCGTGTAACGTGGCTGACTCGTTGGTGGCTACTCGTAAATTAGGCGCGTGGTGAACCGAAACGTTACGCTTGAATTCGCGAAAGCGTGGAAACATCTCGTGAGAAGACACACTCGTTGTGAGGTCTATCGGCTTTGCAACTAAGTGATTGCGGATTTTGTCAATACCACCTAATGAATTCGTCTGTATTTCTTTTTATATATTTTACCCAATAACGAATCCATCTTGACGTATTTATCTCTATTCAATCAAACTATAACACAAAAAGATACGTGTACATACATTATATTGGCTTGATAACTAAGTAATTGCGGATTTTGTCATTACCACCTAATGTTTCACGAGTCGTACGAGTTATCGATCAATATCTACGAGTTATCTGCGAACGATCATACACTGTCTTTGCGAATACGTTTGTACGAGCGACTTTGGACATTGTCTATATTTGTTTCATTTATTTCGAATATATTTGACGGGTTACAACAGCAAGTTCTCGTTAGCGTTTTATCAATCCTTTACAATTCCACCACAAATCGGTCATTTTGTCATTACCACCTAATGACAAAATCCGCAATCACTTAGTTGCCAAGCCAATGGTTGCAGACTTTCGTTGAGCAACGTTGCACCGAGAGATCTCTGCGCCAGACGATTAAGAACGACCAACGTATTTGACGAAATACTCGAAAGTGGATCCTTTTCGATTATAGTCGTGTAAGTGGCACAATGAAGGAACATCTAAAGATATATTCTGATTTAACGTGACACGCTAGAACATCGATGGAACGATTATCGGTATAATCTTAAATTTATATCTGTTCGACGTTTCGTATCAATTATTGCTTGCCGACTGTTCACTAACGATCGCACCAGCGAAATTAGTGGGAAAGTAGAAAGCTACAAAAATATCCAATTGCAACAACCTGTCACGCTACTCTCCGTGTTCAATCGTTTCCATATTTTAACACTTCCACTGTTTCAAAACTTTAGCTTCGTCGCTTTCAATCCAAATGTTTCATCGTCCTTTCACGTGTCTATTGTACTGACATTTAATTATTTAAATAGTGTATTTTTTAATAAATGCCGTTTAACGTTGCAATATGTTTGCGTTTCAGTGAAAACAGAAACAACGCTAAATCTATAGAAACAACGTGTCCTACTCTCAACGACAATGCCAAGGTACGTGTGGTACGTAAAAAGTGTTAGAAATCTTCCCAAAAAGATCTTGATTCTAATCGCGAATCAATCGTATGAAGTTGGAGATGCAAAAATAGCGAGAATTCCCGAATTAAAAGGGTTGAGAAATGGAAACGAAGCCATTCGTATCAACGGAAGATATTTTAGTAATCGGAGATACTTCGATTTTCAGAAATGAAATATGTTTCGTTCACAAAAATCGAATGTAAGTCGAACGTAAAACTGAAAGCACGGAAAACCTTTCTCCACAGCTGGCAATATAAACCTACCGGTAGGTAATAACATAGAAGCGAAATTTCTTAATTTTCCGGCGACTTTACGGAATTGCTTTTTCGTTTCGCTTTCACGATGAAAATTCGAATTTCGTTACATTGTGGACATTTTTTAAATTGCATCGCAGCGTCGTCGAATCGAAAAACTTTCAAGATAGGTAATCGTAAAATGAACATCGTCTCTGTCTGCCGTATACTTAAAATGTTTTAAGTATACATTAAGTATACATTTAAGTATACATTCACACCTCTGTTCTGCATAGTAAAAGTAATCACGATAATGATGGTTAACACTAGAACTACCACATCAGTCAAATTGACTGGTTTTACGATTTTATTTTAAAATTTCTACTTCGTGTTATATTTTTTCCACAATGATGTAATAACTTTCGCAACGAGAACTAAAAGAATAATATAATGAATTTTATTTTGTTTTTTATGTATTCAAACTGAAAATAATTTTGTATCAAGGCTACTTATACCAATAGCAGTCAAAATTACTCGTCAAAGTGTAAAAGGGTCCTGCGATCTGTTTATCGAACCTCAATTAGCCAGTTTCCTCGTTTTCTACAACTTCTCACACGTTTTTAAAATTTTTACCGCGTACCATTCGATATGATGATATCAGATATCAGGAAAATTCCGGATCGATCGCTAGATCGCTAGATGCTAACGCTAGAAATATCACAGCAATCAAAATTCTATTCTACGATTTTCTACAATTTTCTACAATTTTATAAATATGTCAACCCTCGTTTAAGGATCATAGTCCCAGATGGATTAATAATACCAAAAATACCATAACATGGAATTGCTTCTGTAAGAAAGTAATAAATCAAGAAATATAAAAATATTCTCTTATTACGTATTTTTCAAAGGCCAGTCATTTTCACTGGTTTTGGTAGAAATAGCTTCGTCTTAACTATCTGTAGTTCTAGTGTTAAAGTTGCGAAAGATTTGAAATTCTTGGCTGTATGTCGCAAAGAACAAGTCGCGTTTGACATTTTATTTCAACAAAAGGTTCGTACTTTATAAGTTATCGTTAAATATTACATAATTCGTCTGTATTTCTTTTTATATATTTTACCCAATAACGAATCCATCTTGACGTATTTATCTCTATTCAATCAAACTATAACACAAAAAGATACGTGTACATACATTATATTGGCTTGATAACTAAGTAATTGCGGATTTTGTCATTACCACCTAATGTTTCACGAGTCGTACGAGTTATCGATCAATATCTACGAGTTATCTGCGAACGATCATACACTGTCTTTGCGAATACGTTTGTACGAGCGACTTTGGACATTGTCTATATTTGTTTCATTTATTTCGAATATATTTGACGGGTTACAACAGCAAGTTCTCGTTAGCGTTTTATCAATCCTTTACAATTCCACCACAAATCGGTCATTTTGTCATTACCACCTAATGACAAAATCCGCAATCACTTAGTTGTCAACCCAATATTTGTTTTATTTGATATAAGACGGCAAGGAATCAAACAGACGCACGATCATGATTACAATTTGTAATTGCGTGGCCAATGTTTAAAACATGTTGTTAGACGTGGCACGATCTTACGTTGTTGTTATTATACTTTGCAGTTGATCTCGTGTACACGTTTTCACTTTTGCCAGAATTTGTTGTTGTATCTTTTAACGCGTTAGTAAGAAACTTAAACAAACTCGGAATTATATCATTGTTATTCTTATCAAGAACGATGACTTTAAGCTTAGTCTAAAATTACACGCGAATTGCAGGGATCGATTGGATTGAGCAGATCTATCATTCTAAATCTAGATGCGACATTTAGAATATCCTTACACCCTTCTCTAATAAATCTTTCGCTATTTTGTAATTCAATAAACATAATTCAAAGCAGTTAATTACCTATCCTTATATCAACTACATGCAACTGAGAATTCTCGCTCAATTTGTGATCTTCTAATCCTTTAAAAGCCACTCGATCGTTTCAATGTTACGACAAATGAAAAGTAGGTACGTTGATGTACCAACGATTTCAATCTAATGCTAATTCATCGCGCCAATGGCTCACAGTAGCCAAAAATTTCAAGCTAAAGTGTATTTAGCACGTGCTTTGTCTCAAAAAATAAAAATACAAAAATCACTTTCAAGAGGATATGTTAGGATTATGATATGAGCAGAAATTTTGCGCAGCCAGCGAGTAGGATAATTCGCGTAGAGATGAAACTCTAACAGAGATAAACATAATGCATCGGTACTATCTTTTACAGTCGTTGCAATAAGATAGATTTAGGAATTTTAAGAAAATTTTCGACGCGACGATCAGCTTTTTAATTTCTCTAAAAATACTAATTCTTCAAGTGCTCAGATGAAGTAATATCACTCCGTTGTTTCAGGCATTTGTATTGTCATAAAATATACTTTAACGTAACATGTAGTTGCGATTCTAACCCACGACTATTGTATGCTACAACGACTATAATCACACTTAATAAAACGATATAACTTTCGTTTCAGCGATCCATCTTACTTCTAATAGTAAAAAAATGCTGTCCAAAATTTGATTTATTTTTTCCCATGGTTATTCATAAAGATATTATATCCTGCTAACTATATGTATGTCGGAGAATCGTCAGGAATAGGGTTGTGGGCATTTGCTAGATCTTCATTGGAATTGGCCATCGCTGTGTTATAACGAAGGCACGGTTAGCTGGTAATACGAGTATGGATACTACCGATTCGACGATCAACCGCGGTGGTTGGGCACTGGCGATACTAGTGACGTTGGTTTTAGGTTCGATAACGAATCCACGGTCAACGGGAGGATAGATATACTTGCTCACACAATACTCACAGATCGTAAGGCGTTACTCTCTTCATCGATGAGATCGCAAGAAATAATGAATTTTCATCCCGATGATGCCACCGAGGAAAACTATGATGGGGTGTGTCTAAGGACACGAGATCATCGGATTCGTCGAGTATAGCCCTCGTTCCGAAAGTAAGGGAAATTGACGTTGCTGTCAATTGGTCAATTTGGGACAAAGCTGCCTGTCCGTTTGAACAATCTTAATTACCAAAAACCTCAGGTTTTATAGCGGGTCCTCAGGCTAACTGCACTTGTGCCGTGTAAGTGGCCTCAACATCTGGTATTCATTGTCCGAAGGAACCGTTGGAATGTTTTACTGTCAGGTACCTCTATGGGTATTTCTTTTAACGGGGGTCATACTATCGTTCCATACCTTTGTTAGATGAAGCGCCCGTCCCGTTGACCGCGGCTACGTTCGGCGGCTGATGGTCGCCTTGAGCCCAAGTTTATTATCACAAATCGCAAACAAGTACCATTGGGAAGAATGACGGCAAATTGTTTAATTACAACTGTAAGCTTTAATTACAATTTTACGGATTTTCCCAAAGTTCCAGAGGGAAGGCTCCGGTATCCTTTCATCTCCGACATATATATCCTATAACACTGCATACAAACCGACAAACATACAACGACTCGGTACATTAAAAAATTATTAATTTTGTAAATTTAAAATATATCAATGCCGTTTTTGTTTCAACCAAGGGCAAGACTTTTGATGTTTCGAGAAAATCTTCAGCGTGAAACTGAAACGAGAGTTCACGCGCATCAACGACGATTCCTCCTTACTTCCCTCGACTTTAATAAACGTTCTAACAGTAGAGAAATACAATATAATAAAAAAAAAATGGTTCAAGAGAAACGAGGAAGAGTTAACAACGAAATCCATCTCTCTCAGAGATCTACCATGTTTCGAACGCTCAAAATCGCGTTTCGTTACGGAAAAGTAACCAAACTGCCTCGTTCGAAAGCCCCGGAAATATCTAAATTCTACCTACACTCACCTGTATGCTTGGTGTGACGCTGCAGGTGTTGCGGGTCTTGAAAATGATGGTGCATGGGTGCGGAGGGCCAAGCCTCGTGATGAGGTTCCGGTGTTTGTTCTTGAGGGCAGTGAGGCCTGAGGTCGAGCGGTTCCTGCCTCAGGGACTGCGTCAACCAACCCATGACTCCGGGCTGTCTGCAAAAGCCCTCACCAGCCTGCATATCGTCTTGTACGATGGAGCTAGGTTGTTGCAAATGAAGAAACAGACTTCTATCGCGGGAATCGCGATCGCCCCGATGCAATTGCAACGGTGGGGGCGACGCTGAGACCGGAGGAGTATCCGGCGGTGTTCCAGGATGCGAAAGGGTCGTCAGATGAGAAGCTGCACCCGGTGGTGCCTTCACCAGGACGCCGTGCTGCACCTGAATGTGCGGCTGTCCGTAAAGCGGATGGGGTTGCTCAAGCTCGTGCGCCGGCGGCGTCAGAGGCGCTAGAGCCAGACCTTGCGCTTGTAGAGCCTGGCCAGGTAATTGCACCACACTACCGTTCACCATCATTGGTGAGCTGATTCTTACCTGAATGATCAAATAGCCATTCGTTAATTTCTTTCTTTCAAATAATCAAATGATCAAGTAATTTCTAGAAATAAAGCACGTGTTACATATACAGGTTGGTTGGTAACTAGTGGTACAAGCGGAAAGGTGGTGATTCTACGCGAAAAAAGAAGTCGAAAATATAGAATAAAAATCTTTTTTTTTTTTATTTTTCCATCGAGACAACGATCTACAGTGAGATCCGTTATAACGAGACGCGATAAAGTGCAGGCGTACCGAACGAAAATTCAAAGTCGATTTTCTCGAAAACAAAGCCACGAACGAAAAATTTGTATTCTATATTTTCGACTTCTTTTTTCGCGTAGAATCACCACCTTTCCGCTTGTACCACTAGTTACCAACCAACCTGTATATGTAACACGTGCTTTATTTCTAGAAATTACTTGATCATTTGATTATTTGAAAGAAAGAAATTAACGAATGGCTATTTGATCATTCAGGTAAGAATCAGCTCACCAATGATGGTGAACGGTAGTGTGGTGCAATTACCTGGCCAGGCTCTACAAGCGCAAGGTCTGGCTCTAGCGCCTCTGACGCCGCCGGCGCACGAGCTTGAGCAACCCCATCCGCTTTACGGACAGCCGCACATTCAGGTGCAGCACGGCGTCCTGGTGAAGGCACCACCGGGTGCAGCTTCTCATCTGACGACCCTTTCGCATCCTGGAACACCGCCGGATACTCCTCCGGTCTCAGCGTCGCCCCCACCGTTGCAATTGCATCGGGGCGATCGCGATTCCCGCGATAGAAGTCTGTTTCTTCATTTGCAACAACCTAGCTCCATCGTACAAGACGATATGCAGGCTGGTGAGGGCTTTTGCAGACAGCCCGGAGTCATGGGTTGGTTGACGCAGTCCCTGAGGCAGGAACCGCTCGACCTCAGGCCTCACTGCCCTCAAGAACAAACACCGGAACCTCATCACGAGGCTTGGCCCTCCGCACCCATGCACCATCATTTTCAAGACCCGCAACACCTGCAGCGTCACACCAAGCATACAGGTGAGTGTAGGTAGAATTTAGATATTTCCGGGGCTTTCGAACGAGGCAGTTTGGTTACTTTTCCGTAACGAAACGCGATTTTGAGCGTTCGAAACATGGTAGATCTCTGAGAGAGATGGATTTCGTTGTTAACTCTTCCTCGTTTCTCTTGAACCATTTTCACTACCGAATTACGATAATTACAACTGAGAATCAAAATTCATTAGTGACTATTATTGTTAACTATTAACGTTAGCTGAACGATCTTCTCATTCCTATGAGTAGGAGTTTTATCCTCAAAGAAAATTATGACTAGCGAGCTGGCTATGTAAGTACACAACGTATACTTTGCTATTCGTTACGCCACTAATAAAGAATTATATAATCTATTTTCAAACTTAGATTCCGGTATTCCTGTTATGTTGATAACCGAATTTGGCAAATTACAAAACGAATTACTTAGCTCAACTCAAATATCCTTCTGATTCCTAGCTTACCCTGTCACACGTTATATTACATCTACGAGATAGGTACATTGCATATTTCGTTTATCTATCATTCGTTAATGTCTTGGTTATTCTTGTCGATACAAACAAATCGTTCCAGGAGAAAGTTAGTTGGTACAGGAAAGTAAACATCATTGTGTAATAAAAGATATTACTTAATTATCTCGTATAAACGTTACTTGTCCTGATATAATTTTTTTATCGGCAAAGACAAGTAAAAATATCAACGAGTATCAACACGTATACATTTGAAATACATTTGATAATATTGATTGACATTATGCTACTTCGACGAAGACAAATTAGTTTCCACAAATAAAGTTTAATCGGTTTATAGGCTTAGTTTATAAATTTAATATCTAATTCTCCTCATAATTTATGCTATTCCAGCTATTTTTTTACTCTGTATTCCAGACATCAAGTATGGAAGAAAATAGAAATGGAGATGTTACACGATGCAATTAATTAGATTGGAAATGGTGGCAAGTTGTCTATTTGATAATGGATCGACGTGTTTCGAAAGTATATGGATTATTATTATGTAAGTAATACTATGAGCATTGCTTATAGAGACTCGATTGATTTAAGCACTAATTCGTTGACCTAAGTATTTAAATAACAACGAGTAACGTATCTAGAAATTATGTGATTCTTAAACGTAAACCGAAATTTCCATCAAACGTACCATCAAATTTCTTTTATCGATTTATTAGAATTAAAATACAAACCTGAAATATCTTTTCCAAGTAGGTAGATAGATAATTATCTCTTAACGCGTGTACCTACCTATAATAATACATTATCACAATTTTTGTAAACAAGAAATTCTTGGGGCAGGAAAATTAAAAAAGAAAAGTTTGAACTAACGTCTATTTCGCGTAGAAAAATATATCGTTCGATCGATACTTGTGTAATTTTCGTGATAACGGTAGGTATCTATTTTTCATTGAAATCTGAAAACCTCGGGAAATCGGTCGAAGAGTTTAGTATTTGTCGTCCGATGTTTATATGGAAACATGTTCCGTTTTCCGCTTTTCATATAAATATATAACGTAATAATTTCAAGCTTATATAACGTAGAACAACGCACGTGACTCCATTTACACACACGATTTCAACGTCAGTGGAAACTTTCAGCGTGTGTTAAATCACAACGCGTATGAATTAATTCGTCTCTGTGTTCGCTAAAAAAAAAGAGGAGAAAAAAACAAAAAAATATAACTTGCGAATAATCTTTTTCAATGAACGCCCATCGACGTGCAGATTCGATGAATCGACAGACACCCGTAACGAAAATTATTTTCCGATCGTTGGTATAATTCGATAAATTAATTCTGTCGTGAAAGAAACCGCGTAACAAGTACACTTAATTTAGAATAAAAAGTCAATGTTTCGAAAAGTAACTTATACTTAATACACGATGCATCGTGATTAAGAAGTTATCATAGTTTTCCGTCGTTTGGGTACTGGTCAATCTCATTTTACCATGTAGTCGATGAACTATAGATAATAATACCTACTTGTTGAATTTTACCTCGTTTTGTAACATGGAGTTATTTTTAATATCGTTGTAAGAACGCCTTTCATGTTTGGGCGAAACTCTATTAAAATGTACGAGTACCTAAGTACCTACTTATACTCTTTCCATTTAAAGTAAGATATTTCCAATGCAAAACATCAAGATAGTGATCACATTTATGTTATATTACATATTGGAATTATATTCTCGAATATTTCAATTCAAAGACTCAAGCGACATCGTAAACTATAAAAATCCCTATACAACGCTGTCATTTATCGAGTCAAGCTCGATTAATTACTAAATTTAATTCTTATTAGATGCAAATGAAAATAAAAACGTTCACGATATTGAAAAATAAATCAAAATATCTAACTCTCTCTCTCTCTCTTTCTCTCTCTCTCTTTATATATATGTATGTATATATGTATGTAAATCCTAATTTAATATCGACTGTGGATGTTTGGGGAATTTCGTATTCTTACGAAGACCAATTAAAGGAACGAAACCGAAATAGGGACTTGTTCCGCTTTACTTTGGCTATTTTATATATTATGTGCATTCCATAGGCAGGTATATTTAGCTACCGTGTAAATGTACAAATGTTATTTAGGTAGGTAAGTATATTCATACAGTAAATCTAATACTTACATAGCATACATATAATATTTTCTATATAGTAAATATTCGATACTACGTATTAAGTGTACATTATACATACCTATACGTTAAAGCGAATATACGCATTAGTTTGGTAAATAGATACCCTACGCGTAGGTAAACACACACGTCACTTTTCACAAATATGTAAATATCTATCTTGAAACAACAAAATTTAAGCTTTGTCACTAGTAGCAGAAACACACTACTACATTATTCGCATAGTATATCTAAACAAACAAACTTACTAAAAATACTAGATACGAATTTCTTTGCATCTACCTACCTATACTTTCGTACTTCGGAACCTCGTGTAAATTCGTATACACCGACGAACCCACACAGTCGTGTATACGTACGTACTATTTACTAAATTTGACGCTTTCGCCGTAACATATAGGTATATAAGTACGGATGTACGATAAAACACAGCTAATACGAATATAAGAGAATGTTAACCTCCAACGGGAGGAATCAACGACTAACCTCTCGTTTGACGTCGGCGGGATCGAGATGATCGAGAACAAACTCCTGTACGTATTCTCTCGCGAGATGCTCCTCGGCTTCCATCTTAACCTCGTCGACCTCTACCTCCACCTCCTGCGCCTCCACCTCCTCTACCGGACCCGTCGTAGCCGCATACGGGACCGTCTTCTCGCTGCCACCGCCACCGCCACCTGCACCGCCGCCGCCTTCGCCACCCCCTGGACAACTCGTCACCGTTTGTTGCGTCGTGACCACTTTTCCAAACGACTCCACCTAACGATTCGAAGGACGCTATTCCCGATCTTCTCGCAAATTACAACACCCCCCACCACGTCCAACAAAATCCTTGATTTTTCACCCTAACTCCACTTTATTATTATTTTTATTTATCTCGTTCTTTCGATCGGATGGCAATCACCAGCGAGCAAATTCAACAACTCTTGACAGTCTTGTCGAACGGTAGCGACGTTTCGTGCGATTCAAAATAGATGGACCGATGGAAAATGTACGTATAGCAGCGCTATATTTCTATATATCTACGTGATAGAACACTCGACGAACAGTAGATTTATAATACCGGCGGGAAGATAAGTATCTCCAGTCAATAGGAATATACGATGTTCAGCGGATGAAAGGTTAATCACTGTTTCCGAACCATGTAACCATTTTATCGCACCATTGTTGCACGATCATTGTTTCGTTTTGCGAAGAATTCACTCGAACGGAGAGCTGACGTTTACGGTGCTTCGCGTCTCTCGCGTAACGTCGATGCACTGTCAACACTATCACCCACGGCACACTTTTCCCAAACTGTTCCCGCCAAAAAACGGTCCTGCTCTGAGAACCGACTCGTCGATCTCTCCAACCATTCGATCTTCGATACTTCGATTTTTCGATCTTCGTCAAGTTTGCAACGTATCCGTAGAAGGCTCACGGATCCGTACGAAGAACTCAACGGCTGACTTATCGCTCACCGTTGTATCGTGATTTTTGTCGCGTGCGCGTAGGTCGCAAGCCGGCATCCAGTAGAAAAGAGAAAAAGAAGGCGCGTGATAAGCTACGCTGGATACGAGTGTGGCGAGTGATACTCTTCCGACGAGTGTGGTAGAGAAGTGACTCTACGCGCAGGACATGGTGACGTCATGACTAGGCGTGACCAGCGTTCACTCGATTCTGGGGTGCGCGTGCAACGATTGGCTGGCGGAGCTGGAGTCGCCATTTGCACGCCGCTCTCTTACCCCCCACTGTCGGCCAACCACCTTGTCACTCCCGGCACGGATCTCTCCCGTGCCTCCGCGGACGTACCATTAATTTCTAAAGTGATTATTATAATTTTTCAGCGGACGCGTTGCTCCGCTTAACCCCACCCCTTCGCCTGTACTTAGGCGCGCGCGCGCGCATACACACACACGCATACGCCGTCTCCTAGCGATCTTTGCCGCGTACCGCTCTCTTTTCTCGGGATTTCAATTTAGCGCCGCTCGGTATATAAGAGGTGACCCGTTATCGCGCGGCCACGATCCTCCAAATCGGAGTACGATTTTCCGCGGGAGAACCGCGTAACTGAAACACGCAAGTGTGTACGTATCGTGCACGCCGATGAAATATCGTTGGCCGAAGAATCGCAACTATATCGCGATCGAGTCAAGCACAAGGTTGGTAAATAGACGGATTGTTTTATTCTATCGATGGAAATTATTCGCAGGTTCTCAGCTTCTAAAGAAAGATACCTGTGTAGGTTCTGCTTAAACAAAAGTAATTAAAAAAAGTAATTACAATATACTGTTTAAATTGAGATTTAATAATTGTAGTAAATAGCAGTGGTAAAATTGAAAAGTAAAATATATTAAGTAGATATACTCGTCATTATTTACTTTTTTACGACACATTCTAGGTATACGCTTTTCGAAAACCTCAAGGGTCGGGTTAGATTAGGTAATAATTCTTATAGCCATCGAGCTTGGGTCGGTTAGATAGAAGTAAGGAAATATTTACAATTATCGTTGCTTTCGGAAGAAAATGTACAATACAATGGATAGACAGGTATATGGAGGAGAAATACTCGCAGGGAACGTGGCTTGTTTCGTTTGCAAAAATGTGATATCGTCTCACAACTAGTCGGATAGGTGTAACATTACCCGTGATAAGTAAAATCATTCGTTAATTATAATTTCGTTAACGTAATTATGATAACGTTCGGCAATGTCTCGTAACAAGCAGATAAACAAGATTAAAATGTAACTAAAATGTAAGATCCGACGATCGCTTCGTTTCCGATATAGTCGAATATTCTTCTCCTTATTTAATTTCGAATACGAGCTAAAATCGATCTTACGATCCGTTGGAAAATTACTTTTTCACAGTTGTGTCATTATTCTTCCCAGTTACATACATATAGGTGTACCTACTTAGCGATATGCTGACGGTCGCGCGACTGGAATTAGGGAACGCGGAAGTCACTGGTTTCCGCCAGGGATCGTGCATGTGGATGTGAATGGAAAAATCTCGCCGTTCGAGTTTCAGTTCGATCCGTGTCGGTTTTCCGACAGGGAAACGGCGCGAGATTAAATGCGTGACCTTATTCAACCGACTCGAACCTCCGCGAGGATAATTATCATCGGATAACGATGTTCGTTCTTCGTTTTTTCAACGATCGAAGCGTCGAATGTTGACCGGGTCATTTGAGATAATCGAATACGTGTACGTACCTTTCGATTATCTCAAATGACCCAGTGCGAAATACGTTTTCTGATTAATTCATAGGAAAACGATTAGATACCATTCATAGATACCTGTGAGATTCTCTCGCTGTGATTCCTGTCTTTGGTATTTTTGGTATTGAAAATTTTGACATTGCAGAGATCGAAGAGATGATTTTATATCGATTATCGTATTTTACTGGACTTTGTGCCGCGTATGTACCTATCTACCTATTTTAGATTTTATTCGTTCGAACGACAATTGGTTGGTGATATCACATCCATCGTACGATATTCGTTCATTTAAAATATAAATATTCGACTTCTGATTAATTCATAGAAAAACGATTAGATATCATTCATAGATACCTGTGAGATTCTCTCGCTGTGATTCCTGTCCATTCAAATTTTTGGTATTGAAAATTTTGACATTGCAGAGATCGAAGAGATGATTTTATATCGATTATCGTATTTTACTGGACTTTGTGCCGCGTATGTACCTATCTACCTATTTTAGATTTTATTCGTTCGAACGACAATTGGTTGGTGATATCACATCCATCGTACGATATTCGTTCATTTAAAATATAAATATTCGACTTTTATTTCGAAAAGTTTCTGAACTTTGGTACTTAAAAGTAAAATAACGTCACGGAACACGCACTTCGGTGCACTGTATCCACAATATCGACATATACATATACCTACGCTTCCATGAACTACATTTCTTATCGCACTGATTTTCGAAACATTTTGTCGTTACATTGCACGCGTTTCGCAATGTTGTATATTCTCGCGAGTGTTTTTAAATAAACCAAATGTATTCCAAAGTTATCTTACGCAGATATTACGTTATAAATTGGTAATTATTATCATTACGATAATAGTCTTGCTTATTATAGTAATGTATCGTAATACATCGAAGCGAGTTTCACAGTTTCGGTACGATACAGATACCTACCATTCGACACAAGATCAAATGTCAATTTTCCCTTTATTAACGATAAAATTCTAATTATCTATGTAGATATATAGTTACCTGTTATTCGGATTAACTTCTCACGATTCTTCGTTTTTTCTCATTCATCCAACTTAGGCAAATATACCTATCGTTTAGGTACCAATTTGCAAAAATGTACTATTCGATTAATAAAACGATTAGAAACAACAATTTCTTTTATCCTAATACGTCGTCGTTCTTATTAATATCTTCCTTCGCGAGGCTCTAAGATTCAATATCGATTTCTTCTCTGTCACTCGTAATTTAGAATTAGAATTAGAATTTTTAATTCTTAGAATAAGTATTAAGTTGTTTCATAAGCTGATCATAGATGAGCGACAATTTCTGTTTTATATTATTTTATTGAATCACGTATGATCCATTTCGTTCTATTTCTATTATTATGTTCGTCCATAATTCGATAAACTAATATAAAAGAAAACACATTGTGCGTGTATTATTTTCTTTAAAAAAAAAACTAAAGATACTTTGCGGACAGTCTAATAATTACAATTTTTTTACCATCTCGCGAAACTAAAAAACGGCGGCGTTTATGAATTAAAAAGATAATTAAGCGCATAGGCGATTCTTACTAGCATCTCCTGCGTCGTTCGTTTTTTCCTTTCGTCAAAGAAAAGTTCGACGTCCGAGCGTTCGCAGCGAAAATGCGAACGACGGCCGCGAATCACGAATTCGCATCTAAATAGGTTTCCGCAAATATCTACGAGTCTACCCCTGCTTAGCAGTCTATATTCTATACCCATTTCTCGGATGGCACGACTTTAAAATGCTTCATGAATATCAAATTTTCGTTCTCTCGCGCGCCTTTGCCCCACCCTCTCTTTTTCCCTGTCTGTCTCCCCTACCAGTTTTCTCCTTTTTTTTTCTCTCTCTCTCTCCCCTTTATTTCTCATTTCTACCCGTTCGCAGCACTTGGAAACAAATTTGTCGCGCATGCAACGATGCACTTTTCAAAGTTTTAATAACAGGGCTTCCACTTTTATCGTGTTACGGTACATCGTTCTGTATGCGTAATTAGAAAAATCGTATAATTAAAACGATATAGATGGATATATATGTCGGATATATATATATCTGAAAAAAGTATCAAGGTTAAATTATAAGTATCACCACGAGTGGTTTCACGTGATACAGTTTAATAAACGCGTCACATATCTTCATATACCTACCTAATTTCGTTGCTACGTACAACTTTCCTTCAAAACGATAAAATACTTCTTTCTTCTTAACGATAAACTTCTTTCTTCGCATTTAGCAGATACATTTGAAGAAATTGTTAAAGTTGACACGTATCTAGAAACATATAGGTATTCAAATTTTATATAGCCAATATACCTGGAATATTCTTTACACGATGAGATACCAACAACGTGATCCACGTTTTACTAATATTCCAGAGGATAATAAGGTCGGCCGATCGCTAGTTAGTCGTTTAAACTTTTATTTCTATCGAAATAAAGAGGCAAGTTTGAAAGACCTCTTCGCGATATTTGCAATAATATTTCTTTCATTTATGTCTCGACTATGTATTTTGTTGAAGTGATCACCACTCCTAAGAAAACTCTACGTCTGTTCTTCGTTTTCTCAAGCACCGAAGCCATCGATAGCGTATAGACGATAGACTGGGACGAAGGCAGAACATAGATCGTAGACAGGTGACGATGACTTCAGGGTTTCCAGTTATAGGGTAACATTACTAGCGTGCGGGTAAGAACCAGCTCAAATTATATTCCTACTTGTATTTACACTTCTCTGTATTAAAATATACTTTCTACTTTACAATCTATCCACGCGTTCCTCTGTTCATACATCGAATAATCTCAATATATTTCACTCGTATAAAGCGAAGAGTACTTTGTCATCGTGTTGCATCGCCTATTACCGTGTTGCAATCCCTGAACCACCGACTGACCTGTACCTGACCAGATGTAACTGTACGAACCTACCGTGCACTGACTCATCCCCAACCGACGAAACGGTGGTTAGTTGATTTTTGCATTATTCGTGAAAAGAAACGAATCGTCCAAAGTCGCGTTTGACAAATAGATCGCAAAGGAAATCACCGTCAATTACCGTTGAAAGCGGTTGTTGATCATCGATCATCGATTGCCAATTTTCAATCGAAACTTCCTTGAAATTCTACCTGATCCGTACAGGTAGGTGTATATCACGCTATTTTGTTGTAGGATTTATTATTATTATAATTATTATTATTATATTCACATGTTACTTTAGATACTCATAGCGTGTTGAACGTATGCAAATGCGCGAACGAGCTTTGAAAATTACATGACGGATAAGTCACTCGCACCGGCGTTGGTGGAAGTCTGCGACATTTAACGAGTGGCATCGGTCGTTTCGCAATTTCCAAACCAATGGTCGTAGATACGTTTGTTTCTCTTTCTGGCCGGATGAATGCGAGTAGTAGTTGATCGATCAACAAGGCGAATACGAACGAACCGCGGAATAAGTCGATAACGATAATATTTTAATCGAATGGAACGTAAGAAGAGGGAAACGAAGGAAACTTTAAGGTCTATCCGTACTTTAACCTAGCGGGCCAA